AAAAATATTTGTATTGCTTTACATGATACTTAATTAAATGAGGAAATGAGAAACCACGTTTCATAAAATATTGCGGACTTATACTGCTAGAAACCGGTTTTCGATACCCGTGATATTTTTGTGTAGCTTTGTTCTTTATAACAAACAACAATTCATATAATATTACCCTAATACTTTGACAAAAAATATTTATTGCTTTATAACTCCACTTGTACAAAGTATTCAAAAAATTCTTACAATAGAAACCATTGTCAGTTATTATTCATGAGGAAAGAAAATAATTTTCTTATATGTATTGCAAACATGTGCTGAACATAAAATACAATATCAATGCCGTAGAAATATCGCCTTAAAAATGAAGTTATTAAATGTACATCTTAATACTGAAATGAAACTACAAAAAACAACAACAAAATTAATACATAAAAATGTGCACCATCATGATATCAACTTTTGAAAAATTATGTGTAATGTTTTCCCACATATTTTCTATGAAATAAAATTATTACTAAAATGTTGAGATTTTATACACTTTATAAACATTCGTTTTGGAAGAAATAACTGAAAAAAAAACAAAAACTTTAGCCCTAATTGTCGATTTTTAGCCTCCTGCTGGAATTTTTATTCAGATTGTGCAAATAAATTTTCCGCCCGCACAGTACAAGTGGTTAATAAACGATACAAAAACGGGAGCACTTTTAGAGCTTATATTATTACAAGTTTCGTTAAAAATCCTTTTTCTTGCTGTTAAAAGTGGGGAATGATAGGACCCCCTTTCTAAAAAGCGGGTAGGCAAATGGGCTACGTTTCTCGCGTCTGTGACTGTTCGTCACAGAACTTATATGAGAATGATCTTTCGAGAAAGCTCTAGAAGTTTTCTACGTAATTTCTCGGCGTTATTGTTTATTACACACACACACACACACAAAGAACTGACTTATAAAAGCCTACACACTTCTATAACCTAGAGCTTTAGGTCGAGGCCAAAGGTAATTATTTTTTACCATAGGCGTCAAAAGACTGAAAACTATCAGAAAACCAGCAATAAATGACATGGGAATGGGGAAAAAAGTTCAAGAAAATATCACGAAGCAAACATAGCAAAGAAAAAGTACTTCGTGTGAACCAATATCAAAATACATATAAAAAATTAAAGTAACGTTTGTTTGATTGTTATTAATCACAAAGCTACACAATGAGCTAACAGTGTTGCTTCCACAGTGGGTATCGAAACCCGATTTTTAGCGTTAAAGCCCCTCAGGCATACCGATGAGTCACTATGGGTTGAAAGTAAAATGCAGCAGTTTGTTTGTAATTACGCAAAAAGCTACACAATGGGCTATCTGCGCTCTGCCCACCACGGGTATCGAAACCCGGTTTCTAGCGTTGTAAGTCCGCAGACATAGCGCTGTGACACTGGGGGGCAAAATACAGCGGAGGTTCATATAAAATTTGGAGAAAATATATTCGTTTTCCGAGTACAAAAACAAATTATGCTTAGCGAGCTAGAAGTAAAATACAAACAATGATAAAGATATTCATGTAGCCTTTAACATAAGAACAAAATTAGCCAGATGTTAACAACGTTGACAGGGCATGTCTTAGTTGATTAGCCAAACAATAATAACAGAAGGATGTTATTAATGGTAAATATCCAATGTTCTCCTGAGAAACTATCTCAAAAACATTCAGTGGACCACTCTTCTGAAAATATTGGACACGTGTTATGTAACGCGGTAGTCTGACAGGAATTAAAGCTTGTGTCATATTCTAAAATCAGTGAAAATTAAAACAAATATACATTACCTAATTAAAGAAAGTTTTAGCAATGTCGATAACTTTTCAATGATGACATTTGAAAACATGTACGAAAACATTATATTTTCGATACCTTAGAGGTTTATAGCATTTTTTGGCTTAATTTCCCAGTTATGATTAGCTAAGACACTTAGACAGATAAAATGGTGAATATGTCCTAATTCTAGCAAACGAAATTCATAAATTAAAAAAAAATACAAATAATTTTCAGTTGTGGACAAGAAATCATAAAAAATATGAGCATAATACATGAAAAAGTGTGAAGCAAATTGTTTCATTTTGTATTAGTAGAATGTGTATTTTATACAAAAACAATGAAGTTATTATGTATTGTTCATAATTATAAACCTTTCAATGAAACTTTAACGAACCTTTCAATATCTGATATTAAAACATCTTGTAAAAATTAATGAAATAAAAAATGTTATTACAAATATTGTGTATTGTATGGCAATACATAAATAGTAACATTAGTTTACCCAATGTAATGTTGTGTATTGTATGGCAATACATAAATAGCAACATTAGTTTACCCAATGTAATATTGTGTATTGTATGGCAATACATAAATAGTAACATTAGTTTACCCAATGTAATATTGTGTATTGTATGGCAATACATAAATAGTAACATTAGTTTACCCAATGTAATATTGTGTATTGTATGGCAATACATAAATAGCAACATTAGTTTACCCAGTGTAATATTGTGTATTGTATGGCAATACATAAATAATAACATTAGTTTACCCAATGTGTTTGAAAATTATTCTACCGTACAATTATTACCAACAATTTGACTTTGCTAAATAAGACTTTTATTCATATCACGCCTACAAAAATTAATGAATACACATTCTTGTCAAGCTTTTATATGTTATAAGTTATCTGGTGATAAAATGAACGTATTAATTATTTCTCTACTGAGGTACCCTATACGGTGAATAAACGTATTTGGCGAGTCAAAACTAGAATCACATAAATACTCATATTGCTGTAATAAACGAAAGGCTTAATTACGGTCTAAGCAATTTTTGTAAACTATTAAAATGTTAACAAAAAGATATAGGCACTGATAATGATAATCAAAAGTGTCAGTGTAAAATTGATATATTAAAATGAATAACACCAGTTATACCGACAAAAACGTACGTATAACTGGTCAATACTGGTATAAAATCAAGAAAAAATTTTCACGTACATTTCTAATCCTGATATAGATTTAGTGCTTTTCGCGGTAATCTATGTTAAAACACAACTTTGATACGAAATTAGTGCTAGTTGCATATTGGAATCCGAGTCTAAAACCACGTTGCTGATTCACGTGTACCACATTAACCTCTCTAGAACCGAATTTGTAGCCAAAGCCAAGACAAATTCGGATCTACAGGGTAGACGTAGAACACTAGTCCGTTACTCAGCGCCCTCTGGAAGCTTTAGGGTTAGTTGATTTATGAAATCATGTACCCACGCATTCACACACACACACAATATACATAAATAACCGGTTGACAAACAAAAAACAAAAAAACTTAGATTAACCCTTTCTGTCACATTTTTCTTAAAGTACTGCCATCTTTCCTTAATTCCCTACCATTTTACTCTGTTCAAGCACGTCTGTTTCTAACTGGATGTACATCAAATCAGGATTACAGAATCATAAGCGCCCTCTAGGCGTAATAAAACCTAAGAAGAAAAGAAAAAAAACTTATAGTTGGATAGGCCCTATGAATAACTGCTATTTTGCCTCCAGTGTTTTTATCAGTATTTAAATACTGTTTGGAAACAAACTGGACATTCAAGAGAATTAAACAACAATTAATCATTGGTCTAGATTTCGCTGTAACAATGCCGAGCACAGCAGGGACACTCCTCACCTAGGCTTGCCTGTGGTGGGCCGCACAAATATAGTTGAAGGAAGATCTCGAAGTCCAGTTCTAAACTACAGCGACGTGGTGTGAATACCATACAGTCGATGCCTGTTTGCCATTCACAGTGGATCCGCTTGAACCGTTGGTTTCATCACGAACAAATCGCTGGTATACTTCTATCTTCATCGGTGGCAAAGTAAGACTTTAGGGCGATTTCGGATCCTTGACCTTCTTATCATGAATCACTTCTGACAGCGTTAACGTCGCCATTTTGAACCGTTGTGATTTCTTGCACGACGGGAACCAAGGGAGACGGGATGACGCCTCCGACGCGGCAAGAGGCTGGCTGATAGTCTAGAAGACACACCCAGAACGTTCAGACAGCATGTAACGTGAACTACGTAACAGTGGGTATAGGTTTTTGTTTCGGTACTATCGATGTTTTCTTATGCTATGGCAGGTACAAGTATCGGTTAAATTATAAACACAAAACACACAATTAATTAAAATGAGACATTTTGTATACTTTAAATGCGTTATATATATATCTATGTCTAAATCTTAAAAGATGTCAGTTGTTTATATGTAACAATTGGTGATTTGCAAATATCTACTGTATTTTTAAGATTTACCGTTTTTTTAAAGAACGAATAACACATTTTATTATAATTTTGTTTGTTGATTCTTTAAATGTTTTTGGGGTCATAATATGCTCCGTTTAGTATTGCATTTATATTTAATTTCGTAGCCACCATCCTTTGTTTATGTGTAAGCTAGGTTCTAACCTTGTTCAGTCTGCAGAAGTTAAACATAAATAAATGTACACAGTAAATAAAGAAAAACACATACCATGAAACATTCAACTTTACGCTAAATTTATTTTTACAGTACAATACTGAGCCATCATTTTCATTTTTTTACAACGTGCCTATTCTTTTCTCGAAGCCTCTTTAACTAAATACTAACCATTTCCAAGGATACAAAATATGTTTGGCATTTATCGCTTGCTAGTCTCCCCTCTTTAAACTGATACGTTATTTTTTGCAATTACCTTCTACTAAGCTCATGCGATTTTTTTTTTTACTTGCGGTTATAGCTTCCCGAATTTCTCTCCAATATAGTCACTATTTTAAAAACAATTGTTCTTACGCTTTCCCTTGTACTACCACATTCTTTTAATATTAAAATAAGTAATCTTGTGAATAAGATTCATATTAACAACAGTTCACTTGCTTAATATCATTCACACCCTAACAGGTTTTGTAATGAAAACTGATGATATATATATATATTTATTTATTTATATTTACAGACTCACTCCTTGCTTACTGTTTCATACTATGCTATTAGGCGAAAGGCATCGTCGGCACCAGGTACGTCATAGTAGTGTGGATGATATCTTGTAACATGAGTTCATAAAATTAATGGCTAAGACTTGATACCATTCTTAATATTTTTTATTACTGCCTATTAACCACCTAAAAAGACACGAATTATTTTTTAACATTCAGTCTCTATGATATCTCATACAAACAAAATTAAACAATTACTTTTTTATGGGGTCGCTGGCCTCGTATTGACACAGGTATACAAAGCTGTCATTGATTTTTAACTGATCTCTGATTATTGATATTCGAAAAAGTGATTGTGATAGCACCTAATTTTGTAACTTTTAGTTAAACATTAGTTCAGTATGTCGGTATTGTCATTAGCAACAATTCATTAAATAGTGCATTATTTCTTAATTTTTCTACTTTGATTAACTTTAATGTAACTGCTGAGTGTAGTTATTGTTCTAAGTAAACAAAAGTCCACTACTGCACTTGGAAATTTTATGTTATTTTTCTTGAACACTATGGTTTCAGTGAAGTCATTCTGGAAATTTTATGTTATTTCTCTCGAACACTATGGTTTCAGTGAAGTCATTCTGAGCAGTACATTCCACCATGCCCAGCCACTTCATAAATTTTGGTCTATGTTAATTTCCCCAGTACTTTACCTGCCAATTAAATCCTTGGTTCTCTTGGCATTGTGGAGATAACTTACCTGCAAGTACGTTTTTAACACGAACATTACAAACACGTCATTCGTGTAGGCGGCTACAAGACTCAAAAGTAATTATAAAGAATTAGAGGACATATGACAGTCACAAAAATTCTCATCTATTTGTTTTTAATTCTAGTAGAGCATTTGACTATGTTTGGTTTATAATCAGTCAATACAGCAACCATCATTCGAAGTTTCGCCCCATTTGTCTAATCACGAGAAAACTGCTGAAAATGATCTTAAAATAATTTACCATTTTCGGTAAATAAACATTACAAATTTTATTCATAACCGTATTACGTAAATTTTTAAATTTTTTTTTATCGGATGAATAAATTTGTTGGCGATACATACCTGATGTTATAATTATTTTGGACAGTCAAAATATCAACTGTATCGTGATTATATCAAAAACTGTGCACGGTAATATTTTTTTTATTATATTCATTTGTAATTTCCCCCAGTGATTCAGCGTTAAGTATGAAGGCTTATAACGTTAAAAACAGCACAGATAACCCATTACGTAGTATTGTGCTTAACAATAAACACACACACACACACACACACTCATTTGCAGTTAATGACAAACGATATAATTTGATGATGTTTTATTTTTTATTAACTTATGAAAACAACGTAAATTCTGCGAGCACATTTTGACAAATATACATTATTATTTAATGTTAGAAATCTCATGTCATCATTTAAAAGTATAACGTATAGTTCTTTACATCAGTCCTCTGACTAAAACTTCAGGAAATTTAATCTTTTGTTGTATATTCTAAGAGTATTCTGCATACAACATTCAGCGTAATAGTAAGTTGTTCTCTAACTTATCGTTAAATATAAGCTTTGACTTTTCTGAACAAGTAATACATAAACATTTACTAACGTAAACTTTAAAGATAACGTGCACACTCTAAGTTGCTTTTAAATGATGACATGAGATTTCTAACGGTTAAAATAAAAAATAACCTGCAAATAAAAGACTGAAATGAAAAATAATTTTTAGATATTTTATTAGATCTTATCTTGACTTTTCAACGTAGTAAAATATTTCTTGCTCGGGTTAGCAATGTCCTCTTAATCTCTAGAAATTACGCAAATATTAAATGTTATGTGATATATTACCTTTGACGATATCAAATAATCCAAAACTGTATAACTCACGCACAGCACATTATTTGGAAATATAACAAAAGATGGTTGGTATATTTATACTTGGATTTTCATTAACATTTATACTGAACTTTGGTGCATACATCATCGTTATAAAAGGTACTTGAGTTTTCTGATCAGGAGGAAACTGGAGAATTGGTGATTGTTACTTTAACGGTAATTAACATATCTAGTTTTAACAATAAGTCAAGCTAATATTGTGTGGCCTGCAAGTGTCACATACTGCAGGTCACAGGAAAGTAAAATACGTAGTTAGGTACCAATGAAATAAATCTTTCAAAGCAACAGGACCCAAACTTAAGATCTAGGTTATCAGTTGGCAACAACAGGACCCAAACTTAAGATTTAGGTTATCAGTTGGTAGCATCTAGACCCAACTTAAGATGTAGGTTATTGGTTGGTATTCTTAGAGAAAACTTATGCTCATACAGTATCGTCAAAAAACATGCTATCAAAATCTGTGAGTGGAAAGTAAATTACTCTTAATACATTACAGCAGATTGTATCCCCATGCTAATAGCTTCAATCAGGCGCTATGTGAAGATGTTTATCTAATTAACATGAACATTTTGTTTGTTAAGTACAAAGCTACACAATGGACTATTATATATATATATAACCCCCAATGAAAAAAAATGAAAACCATTTATTTATATTTACTCAGTGAAGGAATACATTTGTTTTTCATCGTCGGGTCGACAAATACACAGAAGAAGAGCACTTTAATACCGCTTCCTGAATACAAGTTTAATCATCTAGCTATAACACTTCCTTATACGGTGGAGAACAATAACCGCAGGTAGCCAAATATTGATAGTTTAATTTAGAAATAATATTTGTGAATTAGAGGTTATATTATTTGTTTTTATTTCCAAGTTTCATTTCTCTAAAATGTATTCACTATATTACGTTTTTTTAAGCAATTTCATGACGTAATTAACCTACCAATGTTCTATAAACAGTAAAGAATCAGATTTTGATAAATTACTCTCACTTACTATTATATTATATTTCTTTGTTATTCGCATCTTTCATATTGCATAGATGACGCACAGTCTGTCTCAGGGCAACTTTGATTTTTTTCACCAGTAACAATGCATCTCTTCAGTTAGTTTGTTCTTCTGGCAGTTTTTTAAAAAGGTTTTTACATATTTGGTAACTTCTGGATCTATCAGTTTTGTTTATTTTTATTAGCTGTGTGATCATTCTACCATGCAGCTGACCATTCATTTCTCCCTCTGACCATCGATCAGGCCAACTTAGACCAATCTATCTATCTACCTATCAATCAAGTATTTGATAAATTCGTTCTGTATGACAAGTACACATAGTGCTACAGGACTGAACATCCTTGATCTGATTATCTGTTGATCACTTCGAAAGATCGAATTATTTGAGCTCAAGCTATTCATGTTAATTAGATGGACATCTTCACATACCGCCTGATTGAAACTATTAGCATAGTTGATCACTTCGAAAGATCGAATTATTTGAGCTCAAGCTATTCATGTTAATTAGATGGACATCTTCACATACCGCCTGATTGAAACTATTAGCATAGTTGATCACTTCGAAAGATCGAATTATTTGAGCTCAAGCTATTCACGTTAATCAGATGGACATCTTCATATACCGCCTGATTGAAGCTATTAGCATGGTTGATCGCTTCGAAAGATCGAATTATTTGAGTTCAAGCCATTCATGTTAATTAGATGGACATCTTCACATACCGCCTGCTCAAAATTCAATTAGTGTTCTACTACAAGGCACCAAATGAATGAATGACCATTAAGTGACTTTCTTTAACCATATGATGGCACTACTGATGCCATAAATATAAAAATATTGTTTATGTTTCACTTCGGATGCGTTGTTACGCTTTTATATGATTTCTTAAACGAATTTCTTAAAAACATTACACATTTTATCCAAACAAATTAAGTGACACGTCAAACTAAAGATAATATTTCTTTTTTCTTTCTCATTTTCTGAGCTATGAAGAGCCCCTCCCCACAGTAGCTCAACGGTACGTCTGAAGGCTTGTAATGCTAAAAATCGGGTTTTGGTACCCGTGATGGGCATAGATAGCCCATTGTGTAGCTTTGTGCTTAGCTATTAGGTCGTCAAGAAATTAATGTCGCTTTTTTAGATGAAAAAAACCCGAACAACTTATATATCAAACAAAACATTTATTAAATGAAATAGTTTCCATTCTTATCTATTGGTTTTCTATCTTACAATCAGGTTGTTAATGTCCTGATTAAATAAATCA